TATTCGTTTAGCTTGTAATGTGTTCAAACTATCTTTCAACAACTGATTCAGTTCAACTTTGTTGAATTCATAATTAAAGTTGTTTAACAGAATAGTGGTAACAGAATAATGCTAAAGGCAAACTACTGAAATTATAGTAGGAGGAAATTCATCATATTTCAAAAGTTTCATATTTTTCAGCTGTTAACATGGGAATATATGGATAAATTTTGCCGGATCAACGTCGTGATACTTCCCATTATCCTACTAGTATTAGAATCAAATTAAATAATAGCTACAAGTAGTTTTAAATCTACCAAGTTGCCTAATCATACATCTGAAATACGGGCGAAATCGAATATCCTGAAACACCTATTTGCCTATAAGGCGGTTCTTTATTGATGAATAGAAAGAAATTCGTTACAAACCCCAACTTGTCGGGTATCAGTGACGCTTAGAGCGTTTGCAAGTCTGAGAGCAAAATGGCTTCCTGCGATGATAACATAAAGAATAATTATGATATACAATAGTGAAAATCACACCTGATAGCTGTATCTAATCTTGATAACCCTTTATCAACGAGCGAAAAGGTAACCAAAAGAACATAAATATGGAAACCATTGCGTTTAAATAAGGGTCAAACGACTACAAAATTAAGAAGAACCGATGCAGGGATTGCGAGAAATTAATTATATTGATAAGTACAATAAACGTTATCAATACATGTTAATATTTTCTAATGTAACACGAGTCACAACAACAACATACGCGTAGAAATTGTTAGCAATGCAACTACTAATAAGTAGTATGATTGAAAACACAAAAAACAAAGAGATGATAACAGAATAAGGAGAAAGTAAAGGAACTTAACAAGTAGTATTTCTAAAATTTCATCCGGTTTTGTGTATCAGTGTATATAATTAAGAGCTAGAGTATGTGTTACACTTCCTGTCCTGAATTTCTTTCGTCTTCCAAGCTACAACAATTATTAAAATTGTGTATTGCATTTTTAGATTATATTTATTGTTCATGTTTCATTCACTTTCTTTTTGCACTAGTGAACACAGTCCATTATATTTTCTTCCTTTTCACAAGAGAAATGGACTAAAATCATTGTTTAAAACCTATAACACACTGACCAGCCTTTGTGTCCTTTTGTCAATAAGTTGCATCGTTCAAAGCAGCTAAATAGTATTCATTTAAGATATCATATCATTTTACACAGAAAATGGAGATAAAGTCTATTGTGAAATTATTCTGTAAAAACAATGTATCTTGATATGGTAAAATAACGACGAAATAATGAATCGATCGATGTTAGACCATCATTTAAAAACCTGGAGTCACTGTACGGCCGCTCTTTCTCAGTATGAGACTCCTCATCAATAAGCTTACCCGATACCTTACGTGGGAATCCAATGCTCACAAAAGCTTACCCTCTTAACGACTGATCCAGCATCCAACGATATTATTGCATAACCTTAATGAAACCACAACATTCCACTACCATCTTCCATTGTCTTTGGTCGGTAACCACTTCAAACGCCAGATGGATGAGCTCATCTGATTACGTTTTCTTACTAGAACTCCAGAAGTTTCCTCTCGAAACAAGTAACTGGTGAGCATATAATAAGTATCAGTATGGTGAAATTAGCTAGTCACATACAATAAAGTAATTATTTGGATATCGCTTAGAAGTGACTGTTGTATGATAGCTCATATAACTTTCATATTTGTGTTCATTAATATTGGTTAAAACATAGGGATATTCCTTATCATTCGTTAGTCTTTGTTTGTTCGTACTATATATATATATATATATATATATATATATATATATATATATATATAATACAAATGTGTGTAGGGGATACTAGTGTCAAGGAAATATAATTAGTGTTATGAATGATTTCTATCCATTTATAATGTAGTTTTAGATGAGATAGATCTAACACTTTCGCTATGCGTATATAAAATGTAACCCTAGACGTTTCTTGCAGTTTAAGTTATATCTCACAAATATTATACAATGACCAGTCTGGTAGAACTTTTATCTTCAACTACATAATCTTAAACAGAGGATTTCATAATTTCTCTCTGTACACTTATGCGGATAGTACTAAATGAAATCCACTTATTGTAATTATTTATACTAACGAACAAATGTGTTACCACATTCATTATTTCATACATGATTGTCCATAATATACAGATAAGTAAGTGACATTGAGAATTTCGTTTTCTGAAATAATTACTCTTTTTTTTAACTACATGTTTTGAAGTAATCTACCCTTTCCGTCGTATTGTGGAACATAACTGCTTGACATAGAGAGACTTAACTAGAAAATAACCAACTGTTTTGTTATAAATTACTCTATGACAATTTTTCTAATCAAATGTTAATCTATTAACTGTAAATATAAAATGCTCATAGTTTTGACCCAACATTGTAGATCTGTATTGTTAGAACTGTTCAACTGTTGTTTGTATTAGATTAAATATAAGTGCAAGACAACAAACACAAAATTAGATAATATTTTTAACATCAAATACCAGATACTACTGTTTAGTTTATAAAAATAACATTTAATGTTTTTGTTTTTTTAACTTTCTAGTAGAAATTAACAAATTTATTTCTATATATACTTGAAATCATGAGTCGATTGAAGCTAGACCAACATGGAAAACCTGGAAGCACTAGACGACCGTTTCGTTCTATTGTGGGTCTCCTCAGCAGTGCGCATCCACGATCCCCCCTCGAGAGATTCCAACCCAGGACCTACCAATCTCGCGCGTGAACACTTAACCGATAGACCACTGAACAGGCCGGGATCCAAAGGGTGTTAATGTCTAACTTCAATCGATCCACGAAATTGAGCGAGACATACCCCATTTCCTTCAGTGAGTTGATATCTCTCAACAGACCTGGTTGAACTCCACTGTTTATTGTTTCTCACTAGAACTCCAGGAAATGCCTCATGGAGCCAGTCACTAGTGAGCATATGATCATTATCAGAAGAGGGTTTTGTGGAAATTTTAGTAATTTTATATAGTTGAGATTCAGGTTTTCCATGATGGTCTAGCTTCAATTGACTCATGATCTCAACTATATTTTTAGTTTATCATAATGAATTTCTTTCTTTTATTTTATACATTATGTGGATTCTGTGTGCAATAAATGATTATTGCTTGTTTAAAGTTTATTTAATGATCAGAACTAGATATTAATTTTCTTATATCAAAACATAAAACACACCGATACAACAATCTGACCAAGAGTTTATTAATCTTAAATAATTGAAGATTACTATTTTGAAAATGAGAACAACGCATGTAAGCGAACGATTATTTTCAATTAGGTCGTCACCAGGCTTTACTCGAATATACATGAATATTTATACGAAAATGTTAAATCAATCGAGGTAATTTGAGGCATTAAACACAACGTGATAGATTGTGTCACGACACGTAATAGGTGAAAGTACAATTTGGTAGTGGGAAGATAGGTGTACTAATAACATAATGAATAAGAACAGGAGTGAAGGCGATTGAATATGTTCGATCACAAAATTACAGAATATCTCACTAAAATCTGAAAACTATATTGTAAATAGATAATTTGCAAAATAACAATCTATCATCTCAAACTTGACTGTTCCTCCTGAAAATTCCAGTCCATTGTCACAGATTTGGTTGTTTGTGCGTCTTCATACCAATCGCATTTCGTTCCCTTTCTTTTCTTATCGATCTTCTACTGAAATACATTCTATGCCTGTTCATCGTTATATACTACTTATGTGGATATAAGTAACCCACACCACAATAGTAGGAAGATTAATAAATTACGATAACAAAAGTTATATTAATAGTTAAACATTGGAAATAAAAGGTTAAATATGGGTAAATAGACTCAGAATAGTCATCATAAAACATTAAAATCATTACGCAATAAGAAGTATGTAAATAATTAGATAGTGAAGAATACAAACGAAAAGAGGCGGAAAATTACAAACAAAAAATGGATGCTAATGTTAGAAAAATTAAAAATTAAAAATAACAATGATAATAATATTGTCATTCGTTAGATTGTATCCGGCCATGGAAGGGATAGGGGGTGGGTTACGAATTTCTTCTGTACACATAAATTGGGGTGAAATGTACGAATTCATATGGCTTCTGCTATATGAAGGAGACGCGAAGGAAGTCCGTTGGGAAATGATAGGGGTATATGATAGATCACTTGAAATGATTTCGATTTATGTACATTATAATCATTATCAATTAGATGTGCCAAGATAGGGATGCGTAATTTATTATTCTTACTACTATCATTGCACCTATCTTTTTACTATCAACTTGTACTTTCACCTACTATGTGCGTTGACGTAATCTATCTCGTCGTGATTATTGAATCCAATTACCTTGATTTGTTTAAAATTTGCGCATAAGCATTCATTTATATTAGAGTAAAGCATATTTACTTACACTTTTTACTCCCAATGGAGCATAAGCTGCCGACCAGCATTCTCCAACCCACTCTGTCCTGCGCCTTCCATTCTAGTTCTATCCAATTTTTGTTCATTCTTCTCATATCTGTCTCCGTTTCTCGACGTAATGTGTCCTTTGGTCTTCCTATTCTCCTTTGGTCTTCGGAATTCCATGTAAGGGCTTACCTTGTGAAGCCTGTAGCTCCTCCAAGGGCTACTGCCGGTCCCAAGCCCGGATAAAGGAGGAGGGTTGGGCATTGGGTTAGCGACCCTATCCCGTAGAAAGCCAACTCGCTAAAAAATACGCTAACCAGAGTAAAGCATAATGATGATCTAATTGAAAACAATTGTTCGCTTATATTTGCTATTCTTCAATCATTTTCAATTCTATGGCTATAGAACTATGAGATTTATTTAACATAGACATTCTACATATTTTTACATTGACATTCCAAGTCATACACTTATATACAGTAAAGTAATAACAATAAGTTATATAATAAAGTCAACATTTTCATAATTAAATAAATGTTACCGGAAGTAACTTATTAAGTAAAATAGTATAAATATGATAAGGAATAATAATTAAATCATTCGGAGATAATGAAACTTTGTAACATCAGTATTATTGACATTATCAGTATTTTTGTATATTTTAATATTTTACAATTTACATCATGTTAGTAAGTAATGTGTAATAAATTTTTAAATGGTGCCAATATAAATCATTTGTTTTATTGTTTTTATAAATCAAATTCATTTAAACTATATGTCAATCAATAAGGTAGCTTCCAGCTGAAGAGGGAATTATGAAAAGACGTTGAAAGTGGATAAGACATACATTGGTGAAATCACTAAACTTCATCATCAGGCAAGCACTAACTTGGAATCCGAAAGGGAAGAGGAAAAGGGAAAGGCTAAAGAACACATTACGCCGGGAAAAAGGAGCCGATATGAAAAGGACAAATAACAATTGGAAAGAACTGGAAAGGATTACCTAGGATAAGGTTGGATGGAGAATACTGATGTGCGGCCTATGCTCCTCCACGAAGGGTGATAGGCGTAAGTAAATAAGTAAATCAATAAGGGTAAAATATCTGATAAGGAGTTCAATGTATACTGTTAAGCTTTCTAGAAGTGAAATAATAAAACTTGTGATTAGTTATTCATAATGAAACCATTTAATAGTGTCTTAATTTGATTATTTTTTGTAAACTATAATCATCTCAGTAGACTGAATTGAAACTTCACATATGATCTTTGTTTTATATCATGATGATTTTGTAGATTTGAATGTTATATAGTTTTTAAGTCGTATAAGACTAAATAATTCTTCTTATCGTCAAAGATGGATGGCGGCTAGCAGTGGAATGTATAATGCGCGTTTCGTTCTATTTGTGATTAGTCAGATGTATGTACCGGAATATCAGAGTTGATATTCACATCCAGCTGACGAGTACTAAATAGGACGAAACGTGCTTCCTGGGTTCTATTACTAACCACCATCCATGTTTGCTTATAGCGCTTGTAATTTAAAACGATACTGAGGCAATCCTCACAGGATGTACATATGCCAGTAAGAGACTGATCAATCGCAGTCGTAAACATCAATGAGAAGATACAAGCAAACAACACCAAATGAATTCAATCCTTCTTATCGATTATTATTATTATTATTATTATTATTATTATTATTATTATTTTGTTAAACAGAAAATATTAAAAATACGTTATTCAGTTGAACTAAGGCAAATTTACATCGATTCTTCTGGGGAAAAAACAAGGGTTACATTAAATGTATACCAAGTATTACTAAACTCAATTATATACGTTTACTCCGAGCTTAACACATCAAAATTTCGGTATCTATCCGGTTTATTTTTGTACAATTCAATTTCATAGAGGTATATTTTATTTAATATCAAGTAAACAAAGGACTCACCAGTTCAGTGTGGAATTATAGGAATATATTTGGAATGTCTTATGAATAAAATCCTAGGCTTATTAGCACGAATTGTTATGATATTTAGCATATGTACGAGACGAATCCGAACAATATGTAAACAACGATTGGTAGATAGTTAATACTAACTTAATATAGAATAGAGTTTAGTATTTACTTTTTTCATACTATCCACATCAAAGAAGTAGTTATTCACTCATTGGTTAATAAAGTTACCCAGTATTCTTCTCGGTAAACCCATCTTCACTGAAGAAGTTTAATCTGTGAACAGACATTAGTACACGAATTTAAGTATATTTCTTCTTATGTTTGATTGTGCTGAAGCCTCAAGGTCCCATTTCTCATGAATTTCCAAAGTAATACAATTTATTTTGGATAACTCATTGTGGTCAACTATGATGTTAGTGATTGTGGATAATAAGCTGTTATGCAATACTTAAATATAAACAAGTCGTAAAATAAAGCCTACTATCATAATCGGTTTATTGTTCTTAGGTAGAATTGCTTTTTCCCATTTTTTAGTACTTGTTCATGATAGTTTATCATGTCCAGTAATAAATAGATAACTCACGCTGTGAATAATAAACTTTATATTTCCAATAATTGTTATAATAACCGGATTAAATTTACGATTAAAAATAACCTCTGTTATAAATTCATTTAGTATTGTTCTTTTGAATCTTCCCATCGATGTGTTAGGACTGCAACTGGTCAGTCTCTTATCGACATATGTACATACTGTGCGTATTGCCTCGATATAGCCTTAATTCACAAGCATTGTAAGCAAAGATGGATGGTGGCTTGTAGTGGAATCCAAGTTACTATCAGGACTCAGTAACTGAGTGGATAACGCTATGGTGTTTGAAACAAAAGGTACTGAGTTCGAGTCCCAGAGTGAACATCAACATGCAAGTGCGTCCAGCTGACGAGTCCCAAATAGGACGAAACGCGCATCCTGGATTCCACTGCTATCCACTATCCATCTTTGCTTATAACCTTTATTATAATTTTCTATGGCTGACAGAACTGTCGAAACGTCTGAAAACCATTTATTACTTAATATGTTATGTTCATATTTCCATTTACATACGGATGTCACTGTTTTTTAATAATTTCACCCATATTTATTGGTATTTGCAGGAAATGAATTACTTATTAAAAGATGATATAATAGTAAGTTCATCTTGTTGTGCTAACGAGGTATGGCAACTTCGACCGATGCATAAATGTGCCTGGTCTTACGTTGTAGCTGACTGACTGACTGACGACATATTACAGATGAGAGAGTTATTAAAAGGTTAGCAAAATATCACTATACTACTACTATTACTACTACTACTATACTAAGATTTATCAATGTAGGAATTCTGTTCGATGACTAAATTTCGTCGAATAAATTACGTTGCATAAAGACTTGAACAAATGTGTTCACTGTTTATTAATAGAAATACCTAATGTTTATAACTGAATTCTTAAAAAGTATCATCATAGATGAACATGATGGATCAGATGCAGATGTGAGGGCGAGGATCGGCAAAGCAAGAGCAACATATTTACAACTGAAGAACATCTGGAACTCAAAACAATTGTCAACCAACACCAACATCAGAATTTTCAATACAAATGTCAAGACAGTTCTACTATATGAAGCGGAGAAGTGGAGAACTACGAAACCCATCATCCAGAAGATACAGGTGTTTATTAACAGTTGTCTATTCTTCGGATCCGTTGACCAGACACTATCAGCAACATCCTGCAGTGGGAGAGGACAAAACAGATTCCAGTGTAGGAATAAATCAGGAAGAAGCGCTGGAAGTGGATTAGGCACACATTGAGGAAGTCACCCAACTGAGTCACAAGACAAGCCCTCACATGGAATTCTGAAGGCCAAAAGAGAAGAGGAAGACCGAAGAACACATTACTTCGAGAAATGTAGACAGACATGAGAAGAATGAACAAAAGTTGGATAGAATTAGAAAGGAAGGCTCATTGGGAGTAACAGGCGTAAGCAAATAAGTAAGTCTTAAAAAGTATAAGTTTGTAAATTTTCCTGTATTCTAATCACAGATATGAAACACTGGATGACACCGATTGGGTTTCTGAAGGACTATAATCTATTTTAAACTTACAGATAATATTATATATACTTAAATTATCATTCACAGAATTCTAGAAAAGCTTCTTGACTACTTATGATTGTCATTTGTTTCCGACGTATTTACTTTTTCTCTGTTCCATGAATGTTTCATTTATTCAATTTTAGTTATTCTGTCAAAGAGGACAAAGAATTGAGTAAATTTTTCACTGATCTGTATAATGCGGATGTAAATGCAGTTGAAAATGGTAAAGATTATCGGTTGAATTTGCAAGGTAAGTTTGTTTACATATTATATAGCTTACCTTCAATCACTGCTAATAAGAAGTAGTACAGGACAAAACACCAATTCATATCTCCAAACTTTCATTCAATGTTCTGTTAATAAGAAAGTGATCCTTTATTTATATGATCAATTTTATGTTTCGAAAAATCATTCAAATAAGATTGCGAAAACTATTTGGTTGAAATAAGTTCTATGGCATTATGTTTATTTATTACATGATTTAGATATCGTCCGCTACATTGCAGATAATCTGATACATTTACTTGAATGACGATTAGCACATATGGGATCATTTTCACTCTCAATGTGTAAAGAACCATCGACCAGTTATATTTTTGAGTGTATCAGTTGAAAACCAAAACTTACTTGCTTACTTCGGACAACACGAATACAGAAAATCTAATTTTTCTACTAATTGGGATATTACAAATATATTATTTATTTACTTGCTTACTGTTACCCCTCGTCTAAGAGCAAAGGCCTCACACCAGCATTCACCATTCAAACATATCCTAGGCAATCTTTTCCAGTTCTTTCCAGTTAACATTCATCCTTTTCATATCTGCTTCTATTTCCCGACGTAATATGTTCTTTGGCCTCCCTCTTTTCCTCTTCCCTTCCGGATTCCAAGTTAGCGCTTGCCTCATGATGCAGTTTAGTGATTCCCTCAATATATATCCTATGCACTTCTAACGTCTTTTCATAATTTCCTCTTCAGCTGGAAGCTGGTTTGTCCTCTCTCATAAAACTCTGTTGCTGATAGTATCCGACCAGTGAATCGAGAACCAAAAACATTGAGAGAATTGAGAATTAGAAATCATTAGATAGCTATTTTTACTTATCATTTCTATATAGAGCGTTGAGCACAAAACATTCAGATCTCTGGAGACAAGATTTTTTTCCCTTATTAGTTAAAATGTAATGAACAGCAGTTTATAACACTAGTCAGTGTATGATCTATCGTAGCTTTTATATGACGTATTTGGTAGGTCATTGCCATATTACAATTTATTTAGTCTCACAAAGTCAACCAATATAAAATGGCTAGCTGGTATTATATACAATAATCCAGTGTAAATAGAAGAAATAAGTACCAACCATAGTTGATGAATCAGACTTATAATCATCTATAGTAAAGGATGCACTTTCTAGTAGAAAAATATAATACATGCTACTGATAATATTTTAGCAGTTTATAATAACAAGTTGAAAACCCCAGAAGTATAGATAGTACAATTCACTAACATGTGAGTTATCTTTTTTTGAATCTAATCCAGTTATCAGAATCAACATCGTATCAAGCGTTTGGATCTACATAGTTAACACTTTACAAGTGACTTCGCATATACATTAGGAAAAAATAAAACATTAAATTTTTATCAGAAGGGGTTTTGTGGAGATTTAGTATTTTCATAGTTGCAAGTGTCAGTCAATTGAAGCTAGACCACCAAGGAAAACCTGGAAGCAGTTAGCGGAAGTTTCAGAAAAATGCTGAAGAGTCTCACAATAGGACGAAACGGCCGTCCAGTGCTTCCAGGTTTTCCATGGTAATCTAGCTTCAATTGACTCACGCTTGCAACTATTAAATTTCTAATTTTGTTGTTGTTCATAAAAGTATGACTATTAAATAATCTCTAGTTTGGTTGAACGAATTACTTAGATTTGTAAGTCCATTGATTTTTATCAAAAAGTGAAAAATATCAAATCATTCCTATTTTGTTTTCTTTTTTTTATAGGAAAACTAGCTAGAGGAATAAATTCTGTCGATTTGGCATCTAAACCGTTGTTTGAATTTATTAATGAAGAGATATTGAGGAAGAGACCTACTTTTACAAGTATGTAACAAAGAATAACATTTGAAATCTGTGTTTGTTTTTTTCCATGGACAACTTACTGTTCATTTACACAAATATTCTCTGTATCAGGTTTACGTAAAAAGATCAATGAGGTGAAGATAACCATATATTTCATTATGTAAGGTAATATTTATTTAACTCAGAAGGTAGTTGAGCTAGAAGAAAAACCTGATTATTGGATGATTATCATTTCTAAGTGTTAAGTATAAAGATTGGATAGTCTAGAAGAATTGACTTAGGATGACGTTATGGGTTTTTGTTAGTGAAAAGGAAATTAAACTGAAACTTTATGCACTAAATTTATAATCATAAGATTTGCTTTACGTCTCTTTAAAAAGCTATACGCTAAGAATTTCTTCGTTGAAATGAAGAACAGACTATTAATTTACTCTTAGATCCACTTATTGTTGACTGAGATTCGTAGGAGAACGCTTCTGTTACCATGTCTATGAAATATTCAATGAGAACTAGTAAGCTTATTTCAGTCTGAGGTGAATTCATGACAAATATTAGGTTACTAAATTGACTGACTGATGGAAAGTACTTGTTTTAATTCACGAGTTTTAGAATGATCACTTTGTCTAGGAAATTAATAGAATCTGCTGTAGATCAGTAAAGTGAATAATACAACATTCTGATCAAATAATTTCAAATATCTAATCAATTTCATTTTCTACACATTACCTTTTATGGTCAATATTTGGCTGATTACTTTGCTGGCTTTGAAAAACTTGGCTTAGTCTGATACTATAAAGTTTACATGAACCATGGACATTTTCAATAACTATCAATAATGGAATTTAACAACAAAAACAAAATATTGAAAGTTTTAGTTGAAAGGACAACTTGACTTCTGTCCATGACCAAATCCCAATAGTTGTACATCGCAACTAACAATAAAAGACAAAAGTCAGTCGATATGAGGAAGACCTAAACAAACATGTACTTTGCACGATTTAAACTAAATGTATCTTTGTTAAAATGTGTGAATAATTAAGGTGTAAAAGACTAAAAAACTAGAGACTTTTGTGATCTTAATGTTTACGTCCTGAGATTTATGTAATTCTCTATTATTTCTCAATCAATCATACAATTATTAAAACATATTAGTGATGTAAAATGAATAAAGCTTAACCTTGAAATTATATTTATACTACAGAGTTCATTGCATTACTGGATAATTACAATCCTCAAGTTGGTGTCACTGAAATTGTCACAGAGCACCATTATAGGGAGGAAGATGAATTTATCAATGAGTTATTAAAAACGAAAGTCATGAAAATGACGTATGATTATCTCATCGAAAAACGAAAGGTATCAGGAGATATTACCAACTTTGGAAAATTCTTGAAAGATTTGTGGTTCAAGAGATATAAACGTAGAAGGTAAATTTAGTGTAATTTGACTTTGTTTATTAAACTGACTTATGTTGTGTCTTATTTCGAATTGACTTAATGGTGTATGCACAATTGAACTCATTGATAAAAAGTTGTGAAATTCTTTATTTCACTTAAAGCCAAAACATAACCAGTACAAAATCATTTAAACATTTTAATTTTGAATTATACTGTGGCGTGTTCTACTGGTGTTGATAGATATAAGTAATATATATCATCAATCTAAAGTGGAATGTCTGGCGGCAGAAAGTTAAGAAGATAGAAGAGAAGAGAATGAAAACAGAGAGTGATTGATGTGGAACTGAAGGAAATATCAAGTCTGATACAGTTTATTTACATTTTGCAAATGAATTATTTACTGTATGATTCTCAGATTCAACTAAGATGTTCTGTAATTTCTTAATGAAATACATTTAGTTGTCCCCGCCTATGTTCTCGTCCACTAAATTACTGATTTTGTATTAAAATAAATGACGTCCTTAGTTCCTTCACATAAATATTTAAGGTAGACTATAATTCATTGATAAATTAATAAAATGTAAGTACAACTTATTACCTGTTAGATCTTTTGGAATATATCAAAAGTAAACCAATGAGGGGTGAATTCTTTGATATGTTCAAACTACCTAATTATGAATGCAGTTATTCATCCTTCAACTTAAGTAATATCAGCCTACTGTATATTATTTTATTCATAAATACTTGATTAATATCAGAAGGCGTTTTGTGGATATTATAGTAATTTCAATAGTTGAGATCATAAGTCGATTGAAGCTAGACCACCATGGAGAACCTGGAAGCTTCATGATCTCAACTATTGAAATTAGTGTATTATCCACAAAACCCCCTTCTGATATTATTCAATATATGCTCACCGGTGAGTGGCTTCACAAGGTATTTCTTGGAGTTCTAGTGAGAAGCAGTGACCAGTGGATTTCAACCAAGTCTGTTGTGAGATAGTAATTCACTGAAGACAATGATAGACGTGTTGCTCAATTTCGTGGATTGGTTGAATTTAGACATTAACGCCGTTGAATGCCGGCCCGCTCAGTGGTCTAGAGGCTAAGCGCTTATGCGTGAGACTAATAGGTCCTGGGTTCGAACCTCGCCAGGCGGGATCATGGATGAACACTACTCAGGAGTCACACAATAGGACGAAACAGTCATCCAGTGCTTACAGGTTTTCCATGATGATCTAGCTTCAATTGACTCATAATCTCAACTATTGAAAATACTTGATTCCTTATTTCATATACTCTCATCAATGTTAACAATATTGAGATGAATAATTAATTCTGATGGTTTATCATTTCTTTTTTACATTCGTTTTTATATGGAAACAATATGAATAATGATTTCATTATACACAAAATATGTAATCAACCAATCAATCAATCAAATAATAATAAAAAATAAAGCCCAAAAGATTCTTCTGCATTTGAACATGTATTTGTTGGTGAACATAAAAATTTCGATGTACTTGGATTACATAATTGGATTCAATTTTATCTTAAAGAAAAGAAAAATCAATTAAACTTTTTTGGATGGACTAGAAGGGTAAGAAATTTTTTGTATTTTTGATAATAAAGTTGGCAATGATACTTTACTGAGGATTATTTAATAAAGAATTGATATCATTCAAATGGTAAAGTATTATGTAACTATAGTTGCATTTACAGGAATATATCACTGGTATTTACTGTTAAGTCAATACTTAATTACTTGCTTACTCCCAATGGAGCGTAGACCGCCGACCAGCATTCTCCAACACACTCTGTCCTCGGCATTCCTTTCTAGTTCTATCCAACTTTTATTCATTCTTCTCATGTCTGTCTACATTTCTCGAAGTAATGTGTTCTTCGGTCTTCCTCTTCTCTTTTGGCCTTCAGAATTCCATGTGAGGGCTTGTCTTGTGACTCAGTTGGGTGACTTCCTCAATGTGTGCCTAATCCACTTCCAGCGCTTCTTCCTGATTTATTCCTACACTGGAATCTGTTTTGTCCTCTCCCACTGCAGGATGTTGCTGATAGTGTCTGGTCAACGGATCCGAAGAATAGACAACTGTTAATGAACACTTGTATCTTCTGGATGATGGGTTTCGTAGTTCTCCACTTCTCCGCCCCATACAGTAGAACTGTCTAGACATTTGTATTGAAAATTCTGATGTTGGTGTTGGTTGACAATTGTTTTGAGTTCCAGATGTTCTTCAGTTGTAAATATGTTGTTCTTGCTTTGCCGATCCTCGCCCTTACATCTGCATCAGATCCATCGTGTTCATCAATGATGTTGCCTAGGTATGTAAAGGTTTCCACATCCTCCAAAGCTTCTCCGTCCAGTGTAATTCGATTGGTGCATGTTGTATTGTATCGGAGAGTCTTGCTTCTCCCTTTGTTTATATTAAGACCTACCGCTGCTGAGGGTACTGCTACATTGGTCGTCTTCTCCTGGTCAATAAGGCTACTCTAATACATGTATGTATACATAATGGTCATCTACTTACGCATATCTCAACATTTATGTAGGATGTATATATTAATAATCTTACATTTAAAAGGCACTTACAGCATCATACAACATCGAAGATTATGTGTTATGAAATATCAGAAAAGAATGAAATCAAATCATAAAGTTTCAGAGACATTCAATAGTGTTTATGGTCGACTAGTGGAGGATAATATTATAAACCGTAAAAAATACTTCTTTAACAGAAACTCTAAGAAGACAGTTATCGGTCCATAATAAACGTAGAATAATTATTATTTTCTAAGCTGTCATTAACAAGATCATAAAATGTTTTGTACAGTTAACCGATGTGCTATTCAAGCTATAAAACAGTGAAAATAGAAATTATTTGGTGAGTTGGAATAGTTATAATGAGTTTTTTAAAAATGTTTGCATATGTTTTAATACTTATCTATCGTCTAAAGTGTTATAACTATAATATTTCAATATGGGGTTGTGAAGATTAAGTTTGAGATTGTGATCATGTATCGATTAATGTTAGACCACCATTGAAAACCTGAGAGCACTGAACAGCCGTTCCTTCCTAGTATAGGACCTTTCAGCAGTAGGCATCCACGATCATATTCTGAGGATTAAAATCCATGACCTTTGGTCTCGTATTCGGACGCTTAACCTCTAGACCACCGAGCCGGCACCCAATGGTGTTATTGTCTAACACCAACCAATCCAAGAAGTTGCGCGAATATCTCCCATTGTCTGAAGTAGGTGCCTGTTTCTGCCTGGCATGGATTGGCTCCATAGAGCTAATCCCGTGAGCGGGATTATTAGTGCACACTTCTAAGGAGTCCCATGCCATAACGAAACGGCCATCCAGTGCTTCCAGGTTTTCAATGGTGGCTTAAAATCAGTCGATTCATGATCTTAATCAAATACAATATTTCCGTCACATTTAAATAAAATCATTATTTGCTTCGATATGTCTATGATTTTCTGTCATAAGTTAATATTATTAACCAAGCTATGCCATATTATTGATATAATTATTAGACGATACATTATTTATCGAATCATTCCAAATTAATAATACTATCTATTAAAATTGGAGCTTTACACTGGAAGTGCATTATTAACGTGACGTATAAATAGTCATGACAATACTCATAACTTACTTGCGCCTGTTACCCTCTCATGGAGGAGCATAGGCCGCTCACCACCATTCTCCATCCAACTCTGTCATGAACAATACTTTATACATGTTTCCAGCTGTTATTTATCCTTTTCATGTCTGCTACTAAACCTCGACTTACTATGTTTTTTAGTCCTTCTCTTTTCCATTTCTCTTCACAGTTCAAAGTTAGAGCTTGCCTTGTGGTGCAGTTTGATAATTTCCTCAATGTGTGTCCTATCCACTTCCAATGTTTTCCTTAATTTCCTCTTCATCTGGAAGCTGGTTTGTTTTTTCCCACAATAGTCTGTTGCTGATGGTATCCGGTCAACGAACACTGAGTATCGTGTGTAGAAAATTGTTTACAAATACTTGTACCTTTTTGATGTGGTAGTAGTCCAGGTTTCAGCTCCGTACAGTAGGATTGTCTTGACGTTCGTTTTGAAGATTGTGACTTTGATATTGGTTGACAGTTGTTCCATATGTTCTTCAACTGCAGGAATGCAGTCCTTACTCTGGCAATCCTCGCCTTTACATCTGCATCAGATCCTTCCTGTTCATCAATGATACTACCCAGATACGTGGATATTTTCACCTCTTCCAGAGTTTCTCCGTCAAGTGCGATTGGGTCGGTGTACAAAACTCCCAAACTCTAGTAATATTGGACTACTGGAAGAATTCTCTACATGCAAAACATCCATGTAATTTAGATGTTTTGCATTGCGTACCTTTTAACGATATAACTAATATTTTGTATTAAATTCTCATTACAGTTTTGCAAAGATCAACTTATCACTGTAGCATATGTCAATGAAAATAAATATAAAAAGCCGATGGGAAGTGTTTTTGTTGGATCATCTCCAGAATTCGATATTGCTGTTTACACGGTTGCTTTTGCACTACATCCTACATCTGTGTTTGACGTGAATATCGCTGGATGCAAAGTACGTGTAACATGTCATGAATTATCGCCTTCTGAAATGGGTACATGCTATATGGGGTGAACAATATATGTATCTGCATAAACATTTGTTTCCACTGACTTTAAAAGCAATAGCAAACTAAAGCTTATTATGTCATTTGATAGATTAGTGTTCTGAAAATATATAATTTTATTGAAATTCCTTTACTTTTTATTGCATTACAAAATAAATAGAAATCGGGAGGCTTTCAGTGTAACACTATTAAGGTGACTCAGAATATATGAAGCTCAAGAAGAAGATTTGGGATGAATCGCACTACTTTTGTGCTCACGTGACTAAACTATCTAATTGAGTGTACAAAACTCTAACGAAAGATTAAAATTTGTTCCGACTTCTTGTCGTTTTACACGCGATAGCTTATCAGAACTGGATAGTACAAAAGTGAACAAAACATTCAGACACATTTACATCAAGAATAATAAAAGCATACTGAATTGACAACAAATCATTGACTGGTTACCTAATGATCAAACATTCAGTGATTTGAAGAGGTGAAACGACAATATTATAAATATCAAGTAACGTATTTAACATAAGACGGTATTTACAAGTCTAGTTAGTCCATTTCCTAGAGTTTGGAATGTACGTGGAAGATTGCAATATTACTGTTCTTTTGTTTTATTTATTTATGAATAATCCATAAAATTTTATTCTGTTATAAAATTAACAATTGAACCACAGTGAAAGACAAGTTCCACTTTCTAGATTTCGAAGAAATAACGTAACTTGTCAAAAGTACATACATTGGAAACAGACCTGTAGTGGGCTTTACTTAATCTGTAATACGTTTACTCTATGAGTTATGAATATGGGTTGGTCGGGGCATTCTACCAGCTGGTCAAGAATTTGTACTCACCAGAAAAGCTAGGGAAAGAGTGTACAATGAAAGATAATTGTCTTTAGGGTAATGGAAATTTATGAAGAAATATGCAGCTGAACCCGATAGTATGATAGTTCCCAAACCTAGAACGAAACTTCTTTTTCCAATTGACATTCAAAGGCAGTCGAACGATGAATAAAATCAATTGAAGGTTTTAGATAGTACTTTTCTGATATGACGGGATAGAATGGCAAATTACATTCTGCAAAACTGTTTTCACTGTGTACTGTGATGACTGGTACTATGTCGGGCTCACCACTTTTGTGGTGCCGTGATCTGACTCCAATTTGGTGGAACGAAGATGCTATGAACATAAATCTTTCACTAAACTCTGTATATTACTTAGACTAACCCTGTTTGTATGACGCCAGTAATAAGAAGCCAACTACGAGATGCGCAGGAGGGATTTATTTTGAGTATTCATTCGTCCAGACAGACATCCAGATTAGGAAACGGAGCGCAGACTAACTAAATTTAGTATTTAATTCAGCAGAACAATATAAACACTTAATTCTGTATAAAGTATCTAAGTTGTGACAGCTGTTATAAAACTGCATATTTTACATTAAATACACTGTACATGTATAAACTAAGTGATTCAGTTGTTTAAATCTTGCTCAAAATTTCATCACTCAACTCTCTTAGAAAGAACGCTTATGTAATCTCAATCTATTTGACACAAAGCAATATTTTAAAAAGTGCAAAATTTTCAAAATAGTCATATTTTATTTATTGACTATTTTGGGAAAACAACTTACTATGAATAACTCAAAACTAACGTACGCTGATATGATAATCAATTCAACAATAAGTTACACTCTACTACAACAGTATTATTTTGTACTTTTTTTCACTCAGTTATACAAACTGGTGCCATTATATTTTCATTCCCAGGACAGAGTTAGATAACGAATGCTGATGGGAGGCCAATGCTCCTCTACGAGGGGTAACAGACGTAAGTAAGTAAATAAATAAGTAAGTAAGTGAGTGACTAAGTGATTAAGTGAGTAAGTGAGTGAGTAAGTAAGTGAGTAAGTGAGTGAGTAAGTGAGTGAGTAAGTGAGTGAGTAGGTGAGTTAGTAAGTGAGTGAGTAAGTAAGTGAGTAAGTAAGTATGTATATTTCCGTTCACATCATTATCACTCTCAAAACTTAGACATAATCTGAATAATTTATCTCTAAATCCAGTAAGTAACACAAGTTATATATCTTAGAAATACCCAACAATAATTTAACCTCTGGGACTGCAAATAGAATATTCTTCCCCATTACTTGTAAACAAAATGTAAAGAGAAGTTTTTATACTTAACGATGTGTAATTACCATGGAAACGAATCATTTATACAATGAACATTGAATTTACTTCCCTTAGACAATTTCTACATTATAAAACTTTCATTCATTATTATTTATATTTCATAATATTGTAAATGCATTTCACTATAAGAACAAAGAATGAGAACAGGAAACAGACTACTTATAAATTCATTAAGTGACTAAATTGTTTTAATGTAGCCAATTTCAAATAGACCGAATCAAATTGTTATAGTAGTTTTAATGAAACAATCTAAACTAAAATGCAAATTTTACACATTACCTGGATTCTATAAAAAAAAATACTTTTTCCATTGTATTGATTAGAAATACTGTGAATAAAGAAAAGGAAGAGCATCAACTTATCATTACCATGAATCTCAATCTGATTTTCAGTTTTCATATGCATAGTTATTTCGGTAATGAAATGTTATACATATGTATATATATATTGGTGAGAAAATATTTTTCAGGGTGGGAAATGTTGATAGAATCTCTCTGTATATAAGCAGAGATGGATAGTGGCTAACAATCGATGCACGTCTCCTGCCATTCGGGACTCATCATTTGGGACTCGTCAGCTGGACGTAACTGTATCTCAGAGTTGATGCACACTCTAGGACTCGAACACAGTACCATTCACTTCAAACGCCATCATGTTATCCACTTAGATACTGAGCCAAAATAACTACTAGTTTGTGCAATGGGGTGAAATTATAATTCATTTTTGTATAGTTTGTTTGAATCTTCCCATTGATGTTTAGGACTGAAACTGGTCAGTCTTTCGTTGACATTTGGGCACCCTGTACAAACTGTCTCGATATTGCTTTATAGGCATACTTTCTTTGAATTTAGTCTATCTAGGTAAACTGGTCCCTACGTATAGAAATAGAATATGGTTATAAGTAATAATCATACCATGTCAAAGGACATCAAGTCAATAATCAGTAGTTTGTTTAATAACTACTCATGTAAAAGTTAGGTTACCATTAGTTTAAGTGGTAACACATTATTTTATGGGAGCTGTTATAACGTTAGTCTGTTGGTTATTTCATTATAAGAAGATAATAGAATGCTTAGATCAAACTTTCTGCCTGACTCAATTTCATTTGTAAAGGAATTTATTTTCATGATGCATGTTACCATTTCAAAGGTGAGAAAATGTAACGACAGATATTTGCTTTGTAATACTGACTAAATGCTTAAATTAAGTGCGTATCTCTCGTATAGCAACTACAGTAACATTTAACGCCCCCCATTCGAACCGATTCTTGTCACATAACTTTGCTTCTTACATTTTTATTAATAATGAAGTACTATAAATTATTTTCTATGAGTATTTGTCATTATTTGAGCTAATAGTTTGACGGCAAACAGGGCTGCCAACAATAAAAGACACTATTAAGACATTATCAACCTGAAGAAGTCAGGGCAAGATTACTAAACGTAACATTGAAGTTATATGAATTTTAATTGCAGTAGTATGACACTTTAAACTGTTTTAAAATCGATTTATTCTCAGAAAAACTATACCCTTGAAAGTAGCAAATAAACTCTACCTTTTATATAGTATGCATACAACTTAGAACTATGTTCTCTAAACATTGGAACTAGACAAATGAAAGTCATACTGAGGCTGATGATTTTACATTACCTGTCAGACTAGAGTCAGTGAATAAAACAGATTCTTATCATGAACCGAGACGATTAACCAGTGTTTTCCTTATACGAGAATTACGATTTCCTCACATTAACCATTGTGTGTACAAAAACAAACGGTTATAACATTGAGTCTACCCTACTATTCAGTAATGAATTCCAATGTATACGGCGACGGAATAACATTGTATTTCACTAATGTAGCCGATCTAAGTAGATGATCGAGGGCCTGCAGAAATGGCGTAACTTCTCAGCCTACGCCGAAGTCATAGCTCTCAGTTAATACTTAACGTGAATTACCCTTTCGTCAAATTCAGGTACCATGACTACTTTGATGATCATACAGCACAAACGTTAAAACTGTAATGTATGTAGCAAGAAAAGATACAACGAACAGTGTGCTGACACTGTAATATGCACCTAGCCATGGCGTTTATTTGATTGGTGCGCGTTGGTTATCCTTGACCTTAATGAAAATTGGTAAAGTGTTCGATATTCAGTGACTTGACTGCAGGATGAATAGGATAAGGCCCAGTAACATTTCACTGACCGTACAACTTCTTATCCTTCTCGTATTATCCTACTTATTTTTTCTCTCTCTCTTGTATTTTCAATTAGGACATTTTACTTATTTGACCTTTTATTTAATTGCTATTTATTAGTTATCATTTGTAAATAACTTAACAAACATTTGCTAGCCAAAATGTTGAAAGGTGAATACTTCATATTTTTCTGATCAAATTAGTCGTTTAACCTCACAGTACAAATTGCAAATTTTGACTTAATCACTGAGCAACTAAATTCTTGGTGCTGGGATCATAAAAAATGATTTATGATCAGGAAGAGAAAGGATTTTGATACTACTGATAAAATTAGAGCGAAAATAATAACAACGATTATTATTATTATCATTATCACTATTATTATTAGCTTTATTCAATATTATATGTTTGGTACAATATAGAATTGTCAATACAAAGTATTTCAGCGAGTTTCCGTTTCTTATTTCTTGATGGATACTGACGATAAACGCTGAGTGATCGCCAATTAGATATTAGCATTTCAGAAGTTGACATCCGAATAGTATTCATTCTTTTCAATGCATATTGCCAGCCATCACGATGTCTCTGATTGTAAATTTTTGTGCTTTATACAGAGAAAGGTCGTAAACTTTTCACAAATGCATCTGAATAGGTTATGCAATTAACTGGCATAATGTTCCTTTAAAACAAACAAGGAAACAGATAACTTGTTAAAATATCTAGATGGCAGGAACAAGTAACCAA